GTGAGTGATTGATCAAAGCCAAACGGAAAACTTTGGCAAAGTCCAATTTTGGTACTCCTAACATGCAATATGACGGCACAATCGTTGCTGATATTTCGAAACATAGGTTGGTGCGAGAGACGATAAATTCCCGACCAAAATTTGTCCTAATGGCATCCACCAGCCGACGGTCCGTCAAAGAAAACGGCAGACAAAAGGTTAGAGGTAAACCGCTGTTGAAAACCACCCACCAAACATGGGCTGTTGTAAGCTGTCGAACGATTGACCCGATTGTAAAGAACTATAGACAATAGGCAATACCTTAGAAGAAAATCCCGATGAACAGGAATAAGGTTAAGGAAAGAAATGCCGTCAATCATGGTGCTGTGATGTGAATGCTGCATAACAGGCGCAGCATACACCATCATCCATAGATAGTCATGCCGGTATCATATAATATATGAGTCACAAAATCTTCTGCCTGGTTCGTCTCACTATCACGACCCCGAAGCTGCGTGCACAGATCATCGTAATCGACAAGCATGCAACAACATCCAACATAAGAGTTATCGAAGGAAAATCATGTGTGCACGCTGTGCGTAATAGGCGCGTGTAATCTTTACGAATGTAATTCAGAAGCGGATTACACGGTACCTTACTTGCATAGAGCTTTTATTGCTCTAAGTAACGATTAAAACTAGGCGTAAATATGCAATAAAGCTAGCACGGATATCATACAAAAGTGACCCAAATGTATATCGTAATGCGAGCTTGGTAAAAATTATCGGTAGTACTCTTTCTATACTACTACAATAATCATTGAGACTGTATGTTACTATTACTTGCCAGAGACTTTCGGATTAAAAACGAATAGCAGGCGTTCGTATACGCTTAGCTCATAATACTTGTTATCATAACATATAGAATATTTACTGCGGTAAAGACGCAATCTAGAATTTTATGAAATGACTTTCAATAGACTGATGTCTTGTTGCAAGAACTAGAAGAGATGCGATCTTCAGCATGTTCGGAGAGTAGTGTCGATTCAACAATTTCACCTTTACTTAACACAAAACTAATACAAAACTTACGCGGGTACGTACTTGTGTAAGCCGTCTCCCTGCCTATGATCATCTAACTTTTCCTTTGGGTACTAGAAGTAGTGACCTGTCCCTCGAATATTACTATCGACATATTGTTATTTCACAGAAATTTTCTAGAGTAATTTATAGTTCGTCACCATTTAAAGTCAATTTACATGGTGGAAGATGAGCATCGGAATGATGGATGGCATGATGGATGGATGGATGGATGATGGATCGATGGATGAATGAGAAGGATGGAAGGATGGATGGAATGGATGGAGGAGGATGGATAGATGTAATGATGGATGAGGAATGGAGGATGGATGATGATGGATGGAGCATCCATGCGATGGATAGATTGAATATGGATGGTGGATGGATGGTGGATGGATGGATGGAGGATGGATGGATGGAGGATGAATGATGATCGGAGTGATGCGATGGATGCGAATGGCAATGATGGATGATGGATGGATGATGGTGGACTGAGTGGAGGATGGACTGGATGGATGGATGGATGGATGGAGGATGGATGGATGGAATGGATGAAAGGATGAATGGATGGATGATGGATGATGGATGATGGATGAATTGATGAGAGAGGGATGGATGATGGATGGATGGAGTGGAGATGATGATGTGTGATGAGGGATGATGGATGGATGGATGGAGAGTGGATGATGATGGTATGGATGGATGGATGGATCGGAGGATGATGGATGATTGGATGGATTAGCATGATGATGGATGATGGATGATGATGGATGGATGGAAATGGAACTGGATGGATGGATGGATGGATTGAGATGGATGGATGGATGGATGAGTGATGGATGGAGTGGATGGATGGATGAAGTGGATGGATGGATGATGGATGGATGATGATGATGATGATGGATGGATGTATGAATAAATTTGGGGGTTGCGTTGGTTTTAGTGGGCATTCAGGACGATGAGTTAGATGATGAATGAAATGAATGAAATGAATGAATGAATGAATGGAGTGCATGGATGATGACGTGGATGATGGATGGAATGGATGGATGATGGATGGATGGATGTCAAAGATGGAGATGATGGATGGATGGATGGATGATGTGATGGATGATGTATGACGGACGAGCGACGACGGGCGAAATGGATGGATGGATGGATGGATGGATGGATGGATGGATGGATGGATGGATGGATGGATGGATAGATAGATGATTGGATGGATGGATGCATGGTTGGTTGGACGAATGGATGGTTAGATGGATTGATGTAAAATTTTGCAAAAAAACCCTGTAAAATCACGTCTACAATATAACGGTGTAAAATATTTCAGATGCATTATTCCGTCACACGCGATACAAAATCACATTGAATCGACGTTGGTTTCATCGTACAATGGAAAACTCGTGTCTTCGGGTGGTTGGTAATCGGGGTGACCGTAACGTTTAGCATGTCTCTCCCCCGGTCCACGATGTCTGCGTGGCCTCGATATTTCGTTGTCATCAGCATCCCTGTTATCCTTATAATCGGTAAATCGTCTCCGCAGCGCCTGCGCTGTATCTCTGGACACGGTCAGCTTTCGCGTGATCCTTATCGTACCGCGGGTTTCGCCAAGCTGCAGACTTGCCTCTCCCGGTTGATTTGCTCCTGGAATGTGTGCCATTCTCTTCTTGAAGGCATCCTCGTACTTGATGGTCTTCTGCCGCCGGTGTTTGATACGCACTGACTTCTTGTTGACCATGTCCATTACGGTACCGCGAGAATCGCCGTAACGGTCTAAACGTTGGTCGTGAGGTTGCGGAAGGTTACCACCGTCTCCCTCGCTCTCGTCATCGCTATCTATACCCTGCAGGTTAGCGAGCTCTTTGGCATAGCCGACGCCATTTTTTAACAGGTCGTCATCACCTGTCGACTCTGGTACCGCCTTTCCACAACAACTGATCGTCGTGGCAGATAAGATGTGCATAAAGGTGCCCATTCTGTGGAACAACATGGCGATGAACTGCAGTACCAGCAGTACGATGTAGAACGCCATGAACATAAGTCCGATCGGGTCGAGTGACTGGCCTTCAATAAATGGCCATGGAATGTGAGTTGATGGATTGATTTGTAGAAAGAAGACGATGGTGACGAAAAGACCATTCAGTATTAAAAGCCCCAGTACGCTGTTGTTTCTCAGCTCTTTCAAGTCTTTTGCGATCTGTAAAGGTAAAGCAGAAACAAAACAATGATTCACGTTTACAAAATTAAAACGTACAATCAAGCGTGAAAAAGAAATTTATTTATGTATTTTTCCTACCAGTATTATCTACAATTATAGTCAAAATGCCGTGTTGACGCGCCATGCATATCGCTGCACGCATGTTACTAACTATAAACAAACGACTAACCTAGCCAACTGCTTGCAGTAGGCAGTAAAATTACGAATTGGCGAGAACAATGTAGCCCTAGTAGCATGTTTTACAAATGTAAAACAACAACAGTCAAGGACCGAGCTCGACAGGAATCTAGCCACATGACTGGACATAGTTACAGGATGTCCGGAGATCGTGCGGTGTACGCATTGGGCACGAAAAACCTGTAAAATAGTCGGTGTATAGAGAGCTATACTTGGCTAACTCGAATTGGCGAGCCTTTGTTCACTGGCCGCGAATTCTTAGCCAGGATCCATAAATCTTACAGTCTTTTTACATATACTCGAGGGTTTACTAAAGAGCATTCCACGCGCGCATGGCGCAGTATGAACAGTCGCCTTCGCTAGTAGTTATAGGCGAAGGAAACCCGGATAACGTCGATTTTGTAGCTAGATAGCCAACCCCAGTGGCGGTTACACTCAGCCAAGCAACGCATGTTAAACAGGATGAACAAACATATCGACTGCTGAAGAATATTGTCGTGTGCAGGTAGTTGCATAGTAAAGAACTCAGCAGGGCCGCGTTACCTGTTCCTTATATTTCTTGTCCTCTTGTAACGGATGCAAGTATTTTTCGATGAGGTCTGTCCAGAAGGCGAGCTCATCTTCAGTGAGCAAGTGAACGGTTCCGTTGTGCAGATGTTCATCCTCCAGCCAGTATGGGTAAGATGAGTCATCGCGTTGAACAATATTGTTGTCTAACGACGAAAAATAATTTGTAAATATGATTCGCCGCTCGTACATTGTTCAGATCGTCGTATTATATACGTTCCAATACAAAATACACGCCTGCTTGCAACAAATACAATCTCTGAATCTATGCTAGTTTTTATTTTTTTATGTTACGACATATGGCTCATCATACGCCTCCCTATTTTGGCGCCTGTGTAAATCGCTGTACAACTAAAACACAACGAATTTAGTTTACTGATTCATTTCCACATATATGTTTGTACATATATATATATATATATGCATGTATACATATATATATATATATGCTATTAAAGTATATTGCGATTCAGGTATAGAAGGAGTTTAGAGATAAAGAAACCGGACGGCTGTTCGGACTAGTACGAATTTTATTATCTGTGATATCGGTCGGAGGTGATTGGGAGCCATCAATACGGATAAAACGAGCATACGTAGCCAACCAGGGATCTGAGAAGGCTGCGGGCTTATCTGCATTCAAGGTCGGAGAAGCTCAGATATATCACAAGGAATGGCTATTGGTTATTTGGGGTTGGTGGGGTGCGGGGAGTTATAACAGGTATGTCCATCTTCAACTCAATGATGTGTTTCAGGATATCTCTGTGTCCGATGGGTTCACTCTAAATGATAATCGAAGAGTGGAGATGTTTAGCTATTAAAGCAGATGGGGAAATGCTCTAAAGTATGAGGAACATCTAGAAACAGTCACTAAAGAGAATAAAAGAGTAAATATAATCCTCGTGAATTTGAGACTGACGACTGTGAGACTTGACCACTTAACGCCCATAAGAGAGCTGATTGTCTCGCGTGCATAGATTTGATGAACGGGTGCAAGCAGCACAATAGCACGGCAAATCGCAGTGACAGCCCATCGTATAACAGG